CTCTTATAATAGGCTGTCGTCTGGAGCGGCGCTGGGGTGGAGAAAGTAGCTGCTCTTCCAAGGCCGCGCCTTCGAGCAAGCCGAGGCTGTAGCCTTCCCTGTTTGGCCTTCTGGCGCTGGAAGAGCGGCGGCGGGGGCGGCAACAGCAGCGGAGCCAGCTGGTGGCAGGCAATCGGTGGAGATCCCCGGAGCATTAGCAGGACCAGCGCCCCACAGCAGCGAGGATGGCCCCGGCCTGCCCGAGGCCTCCGAGTATCCCGGCCGAAGCGCCAGACGGGAGGCTGCTCTGAGTCAGGAGGAGAGGAGCTGAGTCGGCGGAGGGAAGGCAACTTTCCCACCAGAAACAATGCAGCACCCCCTGGACCTGGGCGCCGCCGCCGCCCATTATTTCCCCGCAGACCCCTTCGTCGACCACCGGTCGCATCGCTATCGGAGCTTTATGATCGAGGAAATCCTGACGGATCACCCGGATGCAAAGAGCGCGGCACCAGCCGGGGAGCTGCTCAAATTTGGCGTGAAGGCTCTACTCTCGGCCCGACCCTACCACAACCCCCTAGGTAGGTCTTTCTTCTCTTGTGCGAGGTCTCTCTTGGCGGAGCCGGGGCGGGGGACGTGGACGAGGGGGCAAGGACCCGGTATTCTTGTTGGGAGGAGGCTAAGGCGGAAATCAATCTGTGGTAGAGGATGGGGCTGCTCAAAAGGACTTGCGGGAAATAATATTCGTCCCCCAACCAGCCATTCCTTTCCCTCCGCTCTGAAATCAGTGACTTTGGCTCCCCTCGATCTCCAGAGGAACCGCAGCTCCCTTCCACCTCCGCCCCATGTAGCCTGCCTTCGGGGTGTCGGCCGGAGCTTATCCACTCTGCCGCTGGAGAAGGAAGCCCCCCCCCCCTCTTTTCAGGCGCCCCTCCGACTCCACAGGAAGCTGCGATCCGGCAATCACCCGCGAGTTGATCCTGGGGAAGGATGAGGGTCTTTCGTGCCCAGAGCTGCTGGGACGGAGGGCCCTGTGACACCCCCCTGCGATTGCTTAGTTAAGGCTGCCGCGGTAGGACAGGCACACAAGCACAGAATAATTCCCTCGAAAATCGAGTGGCAAATACGTTTAGTGGGTTTAAACGAAGACAGCCTGATTTCCTTAGAGCATTCTCTTTTCCTGAGAGAATAATATTTTCCTTCCCAATGATTCAAGGCCCTTGGAAAATCTCAACTCCTGGCCTCTCACTCCCCACCTTAAAAATTATGCTTCAGGCTGGTTCTGCTCGGAGTGATGCAGTAACAAAGGGCCTACATAATATCATTCTAGTCACTATCTTAATACATTCAGGATAGAGCTACGGATCCAAGCTGACAGCTTGGTCCAAGCTTGCATTTCTTCAGTGGGCAGGGAAAAGGTTAAAAAACAAAACAGGGCGAAAGCTCATAGAAGTCCAAGGCCCCAACCCAGCTGGGGAGTGGGACGTAGTGAGGTGGACTTGGGGAGAAGCTCTGCCAGACTTTCTTCAGGCGCAACTTCCAGGGGGCTGGACTGTCCAGGCCCTGGAGCAGCAGCTGGGATAGGAAGGGCTGAGGAGGCTTGGGCAGGGGCAGCCAAGGTAACCACCTTGCATCTGCACCTTTGGAAAGGCCCATGTCCTGGACCGGCCTTCTCAGGGAGCCTGGCGGGAACACCTCTTTGGCCGCCTCTCTGCTTCGGGTCCTCTCAGCTTGCTGTTGTGCGTGCAGAAGAAGCCCCCCAGGGGCCTGCTGAGGGACTTGAAGAGCCCTCCAGCCCTGCTTTAGACTGACCTTAGGCTGTTCCCTCAGGAGCAATCGGTGGGCTGGAAGTTCAGAGCCAAGGGGCCGAAAGAAGGAGAAAGGAGGCAGGGTCTGTTTCTGGCCGCTGCAGTCCCTCCTGCGCTCCGGGCCTCCCTGGGGTCTTGGAAAAGCGCAAGGTGCCCTGGCCGAGGGCTCCCAGCTGAGTCCCCTTGGGTGCCAGCTCCTTGCCACCTGGTCCTCCCCAGTGTCTGAGCCATGAAATGGCACTTCAACGAGAAACCAGGAGCACAAGAGGGCCTTGTCGGTACCTCGGGCGGGAAGTTGCGCTTGTCTTCCTGCCCTCCATTCGGCTGGGAGCTGAAAACTATGACTGGCTTGATTTCAGTGGTGTCTCTCTAAATCGGGACCCTGCAAGCTTAAATCTCCAGAGGGCGATGAAGCGAGGGAGAGACAAGAGACAAGGGCTGCCTCAGAGCCGGCTGAGATCGACCAGGCTCTTTTCACAGTGTTTCAAAAGCGAGATCCAATCCAGTCGATTTCAAAGACTCAATTCTGGAGAGTCGCTTGTTCCCCCTATTTTGTTTTGTTCTGTATTTGGAGAATGACCCTGAAGCAGTGGTGAATCGTCCCCTGCCCCTTCCCTTGAAGGTGCTGCTCACCAAGAAATCGCTCGAGGCTGATGGGGGAAGAGAGAGGAGGCTGATGGGGGAAGAGAGAGGAGCACATGGTGGAGGAAATGCAGGGATTTTCCTTTCACCAGATTTTGCTTGGATCGAGGACGGTGAGAGGAACCGATGTGTAAAACAAGCGAAGCCCTCAGTGCCTCTTCAGATGAAAGGCCCTTCCTTCACTACTGACATATGTAGTACTGTTGCTATATCAGTAATGAGGACAGTGCTAGATCTCCATAAGGGTGGCTCAGTGACATCAAGCAAGAAAGTGACTAGTCACTGGAAAGAAGTGACATTGTTCTATTCCTCTGCCCTGCCTTTTCATTCTGAAAATATCACCTCATGAAATATTTAGGCCTAATGTGATGCGAATAGGGGGTGGCTCTAAGATAAACATTCTGCCTCGGAGAGCTCTTCTGGAGGGCCACTGCATTCCTGCTTTTGGGTATGCTTTACGCAGGACCTATGTTTCTGTTATTTCTCCATAGCCCTCCCCAACCTGGTGCCCTCCAGAAGTGTCGAAATACCACTCTCCACCATCCCCTTTAGAAGGTGGGAGCAGATCCTCCCCGAATATATATATATATATATATTATATTAGGCACAGTGCCTGGGCTGGGCGCTACCGGCCAGGACACTGCACCTAAAAATATATTGGATATTAGCGGCAATGCCCCTTGGCCTGCAGGGAGCTCTGCTTAAACCCCGCAAGGTTTGTTGCTAAGGAGGGACTGGACTGATAGCCAAAGGCAAGGAATGCGGCCCTAGGAGGAAGAATTGCTGTAAACTCATTTCAGCAAGGAAGACAGAAGGATTGTGTGTCTACAGAGAGACTCTCTGGCTCTCTATCGATTAATCAATGGCGAGAATCCAGAACGGAAATTCCAGAGCAAGACTATAGCAGATTTTGCCACTGGAACAACTCCGGCGGGATCTCTGCTCCGTTTTACATCCCCCACTAATTTACTGTTGTCAGCTTGACTATTGCCTTTCAGAAGTCTTCAGAGGAAGTAAAATGGACATATTTCCATGAAATTATTTTAAACTATGTTTGTTCTTTAAGATGTACCACCAAGAAGGCTGAGGTTAGGACTGGAATTTGCCTGGATAAGGAAGGGAATAACTTTTGGAACTAACATTCAAGAATTAATGTTTCTAAGATGGAGACAGAATACTTGTTCAAAGCTTTCCTAGGAGCTTCTTGACCAGATAAACAGACCTTGAAACAATAAGCACTTCGGAGTTTGCCTTAAAAAAAAAAAAAGAAAATAGACATTGATCGGATGTTTCCATGATCTGTTCCTCTCTTCTCAGCTTCCGAAAGAGGTAAACGATTCTGGGTTATTGTGTCCTCGCCTTTTATTACTGTTGGCTCGGTAAGATACCGAAGTGTAACATGGCTTCTTCCTGCTATGAAGTCTGGGGGGAATTCCTCAAGTTCCATTCAGTTCTGTGGGATTTGCCTTCTATATAAACTTGCCTGAGAAGACTCAGTACTAAGTAATGGGGCCAAAGAGTTCAGACTGGATGTGTTCCAAGTCCCAGCGATTTTAAATAGGTATGATTTAAATGCACATAAAACTGAATTGAATTAGACAAGTTGAGTAAATCCTGTATTATTATTATTATTGTTGTTGTTGTTATTGTTGTTGACCCAAACATAGGAAACATGGTTTAATGCAATAATATAGTTTTGAGTCTCTTTAGAATCTATTCAGAAGTACATCTATATCTGTTTTCATTTATACTTCAACTGAATGAAAAAGTGTATAACTGCATGCTCTTACAAGTTTACTTTTTATATCCTGCTACATCCAAGAGCAATTTATTTCTCATTTCACCCAAAGATCAGAATATATCTCTGTTGATTTCTAAATTTGTCTATATCATTGAATTAAATGCTAACTTTGAAAAGCAGATAAAAGTTTCAAAAATGCAGCTTATATCATTTTCATATATTTATTGTTATGTGCTCTAGAGTAGAAGGATTTATGCTTCACTTTAACAAATAATGCTTATAGGTTGCATATATAGTTATAGAAGAAAATAAGCGATTATCCATTTTCCACATGTATGATGAAAAAGTAAATTCTAGCAAATTCAAATTTATTTTTGCTTACTTTTATTTTTGCCTAATTAAAAAACTTTAAGCGCATTAGTCGCATTTTTTAAAAAATTACCTTGGTCCTTTTTTTAGCAGCACAGCTGCTTGCTTGCTTGCTTCCCGAATATAAAGACTGATCTGTTGCTTCCCGGACCAAAAGAAAGAAGAAGAAAGAACTCCAAGATTTCTTGGGAGCAGCTTAATAAAATAATACCTTTAAATAAGCCAATATTGACCGCTGTCTTAATGCCTCGCAGACGTACTTCAAAACCCTAAAACCTCAACAAAAACAGAGTAAATTTCAAGCTGGAAATAACTAGGTTCCCCTGACGTCATAGGGGCTTACTTACAACCCTGGAAGGGTACCGTTAATTCCCATAATCAATGGAAAATTCACTGTATTGATTTACGACGGAAGGGCCCCCTTGAAGTAACTGGCTGCTGGTTTCCTTGGAACTGCTTCCAACTAAGAGGCCTGGATCGCAGCTTAATCCTTGAAACTTGCGGTCAAGCAGCATCGGTAGGATTGCGCGGTAGAAAACTCCGTCCCTTCCCATCCCCGAAGAGCTCGCAAGGGGGCTCCGTTCGCCTCCATCCCAGAGCCTCTCCAGTTTAACCCCAGAGCTCAAGGGTGCTGTTTTCCAGGAGCTGCTTTTGCTCGCACCTCTGGGTCCCTGCAGCTTGGATTACCTACGGAACAGGGGCAGGGTTTTGCTTGCCCTGAGCACATTTCTGCAGCCAACCATGTTTCCTCGGAAAGAAGCCCCGTTCTTATCCGTAAGACTAGTTCCCAAGTCCAGACCTTTAGCTGGGTGGCGCTTGCAACTTTGGGAACCCTCTTCTACCTGGTATCAGCCTTCCTCAGTGGGATGGACTAAATGTTCCATCACCCTCATGCTTGTGGAGATTGGGGGTAATGGGTAGGGGCGCCCAGGGCATCCGAAGGCATCAGATTGGGGAAGGTTAGCCAAGAAAGGCACCGCAGGGTTGGATTTTTGTCGCTGTTCCCAAGTTTCTTTCCTACAGGATAGTTCTTAAATCTCAAAGTAGAGACTGTGTGTGTGTGTATATGTGTGTGTGTGCAATGCCTATCCCTGGACTTCTGCCTGGGCCAGTCAGGTGCTTGTGGGATCAAAGGGGACGCTACCAATGGGGGGGGGGCATCAAGGCGGCTCATAGTTGAGATGGCCCCTTTTTTTAACCATTACTCCCATTAGCCGGTCGTGGCAAACCGAAGCCAAACTGAACACCCTGAAAAGCCCCCATCTGTCCGTCTGCCCCAACCAGCGCCCTCTAGATGTATTGGGCTCCTGTCACTGGCCCCTCTGGTTGGGGACACTTGCTGCCAGAGTCCATCTCATCCAGAAGGTGCCTTCCTGCAAAAAGAAGACCGGTGCCCTTATCTCTCCCCACCCCCCTTGCTTTTAAGGTGCTGCCAAACCCCCGGGTGAATGCAGACGGCTGAGAATGAGGGTCTGTCCCAGAGAGCAAAGGCGGTGCTTCAGCGCGCCTGATGGTCCTTCTCCCAGGCCGCAGCTGCCTTTCTGGGAGCCCCACTCGAGAAGCAGGAGGGGCTGAAGGCAGCACGTAGAGTCCACCGTCCCTAAGTTCTCCGAGCAGAGAGAGAAAATACTACGTTTTGTCCTGGCCCCCTGCACAGGGTTTTGCGTGCTTTTCACACTCACCCGCTCTGGGGATGGGGGTGGGGGTTTCTCTATTTTTACGCAGCGTATATCCCGTGTGTCACCCTCTCTTTCTTTGCTTTTCTCTCTCCCCAGCGGTGCTGAAGGCGGAGCAGGCGGCAGTCTTCAAGTTCCCGCTGGCGCCGCTGGGCTGCTCGGGCCTGAGTTCGGCGCTGCTGGCGGCCGGCTCCAGCCTCCAAGGCGGTTCCCGTCCCCCGCACCTGCCGCTGGAGCTGCACCTCCGCGGGAAGCTGGAGCCGGGAGCCCCCGAGGCGGGCAGTAAAGCCAAGAAAGGCCGCCGGAGCCGCACGGTCTTCACTGAACTGCAGCTGATGGGCCTGGAGAAGCGCTTCGAAAAGCAGAAGTACCTCTCCACGCCCGACAGGTGGGCATCGCCCGGAGGTCAGCGTTCCGCGGGGGGTTACTCTGGGCTCGCAGGAGAGAGGTGAGGGGCTGACTTCGGAGAGACATTTCCTCTAGATCTGCAAGAGGAGGATCGGGGGGCGGGGGCGGTGGACGCGACCCATCGACCTGCCGGTGGTCCAGTGCTATCGGGGAAGGGAAAGTGCGTCTCTGTGTCTGTGTGTGTGTCCGCCCTTCCTTCCAGCAAGGGAATCCCAAGCGAAAAACCACCCTTATGGGGCCTTGTCCCGCATGGGGGGCGGGGGGCGCGGGCAGGAGGACTCGCGTTCCTCAAAAGTGTGACCAGAAGGAAAGGTATTCACACACACACACACCCCCTCTTCTTGGGATCTTAAGCTAGGCCGGACAACCATTCCCTGAGCAGGGAGTGTTGGCCCGGAGCTGCGTCTCAGACGACAACCGGTGCTCAGCTACTCTCGGTCGCGCCTCTCCTGGAAGCTAGCCGGCCTCGC